CTGCGTGTGCGCGCGCCCGGAGCCGGCGCTGAGAGTGCATGTCCGGCCGCGGCCGAGCGTGTGTATATCTGGGGGCATGTGGAGGAGGTGGAGCCCAGGACTCCATGAGGGAGGAGGGACCAGAGGAGCCTCCTCCCGCTCCCACACCCCCGGGACCTCGAATTAAACAGGATCCCTTTTACCTCTCCCTCCACCTCCCTCCTCCTTACTCCTCCTCCCACCGCTTTTCACTTGGGAGCAAGTGGAGAGCCGGGATGCGCCGCGGAGTCTGCGCGCTGTTTGGCGTGGGCAACCCCCGGAGTCATCCCTGCTACCCTGGCCAGCCGGAGCAGCCCTGGTCGAGGCTCTGGGATCCTCTGCCCAGAGGAAGGAGGAGCGCCCCAGGGAGAGTCTCGCGGATGCACCCTAGAAAATTTTGGAGACTTTTCCTAGCAAGAATGTGCTCATTTTCCTTGGATGTTCAGATGTTACTTGGAACAGAGGCTTCCCGCATTTTCTTGCACCGGTGACGCACGCCGTCAGAGGTAGTAATGTGAAAAATAACCGAGGAGAGGAGGGACTGGGCATGCTCTTGGCAACCTTTTAGGCGTCCTTGGCTGACTGTTCAACTTTTTAAAAAATTCTGGGTGTTTTGTTTTGTTTCTATTCCGGTCGTCAGAGCCATCTATATACTGATCTCTTTAAGGTTCAGTTAGCTTACAGTATCTCACTTAAATGCAGAGTGTGGGTGAAGGCGTTCAAAATAAAAGAGAAATATAGAATGTTTCTCTATAAAAGAAAAAAAGTGAAACATGCCAATCACGACATTCTGGAATATTTCTATGTTGTTAAACACACTTTTCTTAAGAGCAGTTTTTTTTCTTTATGGTTGACATGATGCAAAAATCAAACAGCATGATTTTGTTTGCATATTTTTCTCACTTCTTGGTACACTGCAGCATACTTATAACATGATCAGAGTGGGAGTTTCATTCGTAAGTTGTCCTGCCCGTCAGGGAGAACTTGCTTGCCTTCTTTCTTTGGCTGTTTGGATTTTACCTAGCCCTGTGGTGTGTGCCAGCCAGTAGGAAATTCTGTAAGTGATTGATTCTTCATGACTTCCCTGTGATATATGTTCAACTCACAAACACACACAGACCCAGAGCATTGATTGAAGTTATGGACTTAAATAAAAATTAAGAGGTGGGCTTGTTTTATTGCTCATTCTAATAAAGAGAACAGAGATTGTTGCTTTAATTTAGAAATGGAAATCAGCAGTGAAATGTGTAGGAGTCTGTATTTTTCTTAAGCTATCACATTTACAAATGTTTACTTTGTATCAGTTATGCCCTTGTATTGCTACAACAATTGGACTAATTTCTCTAGAACCATATTTCTTTACAGGCTCTCTAAAGACACTCTGTCATTCACAGACTCAGACTCGGTGGAGCAACATTAAAACACTAGCAGGTGTAATTACATTGGCCAGAATAGTAAATATACTGTTTTGTGATGATAAACTACAAAATTATCTGCTCTGAGCTTTTAACCTACTAACTTGTATAGTAGTTTTGAGACAAAATATGATCCACTGTTATACAAAGAACATATGCATGGGGATGCAAGATATGAAACACTGTTAGTCACTAAACCTTGTGAACACAGTTGAGTCTAATCATAAAAATTATCTTGACATATACAAAAGGATAAGGATTGAGAAAAGATACTTTATACTGGTTAGTTAAATTATAATATACTCCTTTCAAGTGTAAGTTAAAAAAAATATTGCATTGCACTATTACAATGGAAAGAAAGGTTTATATATGTGATTGAAATGTATGCTTATCTGTGCAATAGTGTATAAAAATAAAACACATATGCGTCCTTGGTAGTTTTTTAAATTGTGCAATATCGACGGTTTAGTGATACTAAATAAACAAAATTTCCAAGTTCTTAAGTCCAAGAATTAACCTGTGCAAAACAAAGGTGCTTTTCATACCTAAAAAAAAAATGGTTGTTGGTCTGCTTGTTTGTCTGTTCACCAAATAAAATCGCACACATTTAAAAATAGAAGAGGTTTGGTTTTTGATTTCAGTTTTTAGGGGACCAATATTCTTGGCCTAAACTCTTGCCAACCAAGGCAAGGTCCTCACAATAAGCTGTGCATGGAAGGAAGGCAGCGGGCACTGCTGTTATTAACCAACCTCACGCCTCTTGCCTCAGTCTGGTTGAGCTTTCCACAAAGTAAGTTTTGTGCCTTCTCTTTTTTATGTACCAGCATATATTTCCACTGATTTTACGTTTGAATAAACGTAATATTATACTTTTGTTCTTATGCAGTTTTTACCCAAAGGTGAAAAATACCAAGATATGGGAAAGAGAATACCCTGTGTGAGTGAATAGTGAAAGAGAAATAAATTGAAAGAGAACCATAAGTCTGTTGGGCTTTTTATTGGCAACTCTTGATTGTGAGCTCCCACAGAAAAGTGTACCTTGATCAGTAGAGTCTGCGTGGGTTCTGTATTTTCCTTGTGGCCACAGTAATACACCTGTGCTCACAAATATATCCAATCAGAAACTGACAGACAGAGATACTCTCAGAAACAGTTTGTGAATCTGTGCAAATTCATTTTCTTCCCTCCAACCCCCAAATCCTCCCCAGTAAATGGCCTTTTTTTTTAAATTCTAAAACGTTCACTAGGAGGCAGCAATGAGGTTGTTGGGGAATAAAAAAATACCTTGGCCATACCAGTCTGACTGGCTTGCTCTTTCTTCCCCTCTTTTATAAAGGAGGGGAGAATATTTTGGTCCCAAAGGAAGACGGGATCAGAGTGAAGGAAATCATTGTCTTCCACCCTCTCTGGCTCCACTTTCTCACTGTATTTTTACCCAGATGGCTCACCATCATGTTTTTCTGGAACCATGGAGGTGGTAAGCCACACGGAAGGGACTGGGCAGCAAAGGTGATATCTTCAAAATGCGGAGGCCAAGGCATCACACCTGGAACACTGAGAGTAGGCAACTATAGTTAACTTTGGGGCTGTGGTCGTAAGCAAATACAATGAAAGAATTCAGAAGCTTTCATACCTGAATGGAAAGGTAATACAGCCTGTTAGTCCTGTTAAGAAGGAAATGAGCAAACTGTGACAAAAGCCAACCTTAGGCTGTTGTCTCAGTTCTCGAGTTCTACTCCAGCTCCCTAGTTCTACTCATCAGCCACATTCCTATCAGCCCCCAACCCCTGATCCACATAAAGCCAGAGGGAGGGCAAGAGGAGTTGAATCAAACAGTCATGGCAGGAGAGACCAGCTGCACAAGTGGCCTTTTACTGCTGTATTTTCATCTTTATGAGATTTCTGTCCCTTTATTCTCACTGCTCTGGCCATACTTGGAAACTGAGAGTATCCAGATCAATTATAGAGACAACTTTTCTCATTCCTTTTTTGCAGTGATGTCCTCACACAGGCTAACATTTTAAAATATATTTTATTGATTTTTTTACAGAGAGGGATAGAGAGTTAGAAACATAGACGAGAGAGAAACATCGATCAGCTGCCTCCTGCACACCTCCTACTGGGGATGTGCCCACAACCAAGGTACATGCCCTTGACTGGAATCGAACCTGGGACCCTTCAGTCCTCAGGCCGATGCTCTATCCGCTAAGCCAAACCGGTTAGGGCACAGGCTAACATTTTTAAAAGGAGCTTTACTTAGATGACAGAGCTAGAAAAACAAAGTAAAAAACTACTTCTCCCTCCCCCCCCCCCGCCCCCCGCCCTCAAAGACACCTAAGGGAAAAAAGACAATACAGATAATCCAAGACAGACAACTTCACAAAGTACTGATTTCAGATCCCAAGAACGCCATAAAAGCAATGGAGAGATTTATTTCTCCAGGGATGACTGCTTTTTTAAGTGAAAGGAAGCTAGCCTTGAGCAAACACAGAATGAATGAGGAGGGTTGGACAGTCATCATATCATGTGGCCTGTGTAA